GTGGTGGACGGTGTATCGTCTGATACCTTTGGCATCAATTCCGGCGTTCCACAAGGATCAATTTTGGCACCAACATTATTCCTGCTTCATATCAATGATCTGTTGGGAGTAACAACTTGCCCCATCCACAGCTTTGCAGATGATAGTACCCTCCATACTGCGTTCTCTTCCAGAATTCCCATTTCTTCCCAGGAAACTAAGAACTCACGGCGCAGGCAGGTCAATGCTGTCAATGAAGATCTTGCTGAAATCACAGCCTGGGGAACAAACAACCTAGTGGAATTCAACGCCACCAAAACTCAAGCCTGCATTTTCTCTAGAAAGGCGGAACTCAGTATGCCCGATATTGTGATGTCTGGCTCCACCATCCCCACCAAGCCCACCATATCTATGCTCGGTATTTCCATCAGCAACACTCTTTCATGGGATAATCATGTCAGATCCATCGCAAAAGCTGCTTCACAAAAACTCGGATTCTTGTTCCGTGCGAAAAGCTACTTTACACCTCAACAGCTTCTCATGATATACAAAGCGCAGATACGGCCTGTTCTAGAATACTGTTCCCACATATGGGGTTCAGCACCAAAACATACGCTGATGCTCTTAGATTCCATCCAGAGAAGAGCCATTCGACTGGTGGGTGACGCCACACTCACTCACTCTTTGACATCATTGGAACACCGTAGAAAGGTCGGCGACCTTTCACTTTTCTATCGATACTTCCACGGGAAATGTTCTTCGGAAATCTCTGCTATCATCCCTTCACTAGCAATACCAATCAGACGAACTAGACAAGCCCAGTCAGCACATCCTTTCGTTGTCAACCTCGAAAGATGTCGAACAGCACTTTATCAAGACTCCTTCATCCATAGAACGGCTAGGCTCTGGAATTCATTGCCTGTGGAAGTATTCCCAACAACATATAATCTCCAAAAGTTCAAAAAGAATTCCAATACCTACCTCCTGTCCCTATCCTCCCTAGGAACGCGCGATGTTCTTTGAACATTATAGGGATTCCCTTTCGTGCGCTCCAAGCGATAAAAAAAAAAAAAATAAAAAAAAAATACGTCAATTTACATCAAGGGACCCTAATTTTGGCATACGAATCGTATTTTTCCGCTATTCATCAATTCGCTCATGCCATCACATTGTGCTGTTGTGAAATGCAGAAAAACTGCAGCGGAAGATGAAGGAATCCGGATGGTACATTATGATTTAAAAGTAAGTACCTACCTACTATAGTCCTTCACTTATAGTTTTCATTTTTGAAATTTGGTAATTTCTCTGATTTCTCATCGGAATTCCTTCTGCGATAGGAGCTAATAGAAATACACCTGAAATTTCTAAAATAATGCAAGATGATTGGATTCATGCAATCAATCGGGAGGACTGGTCTGACATGCTGACGATCGTGTGTGTTGTAGACATTTTCAATCTATTAGCAGTATTAGCTTGTATTGCAGGAGTGACAGAAGGCAGAAGGAATTTTAATAAGGAATGACAACATTTCATAGTGATAACTATGTGAGATTACTATTTACCTGAAAAATCATATTCCTTAGTCTCTTGCTGCATTTTTTGTGCATTGTACAACAGCACAATGCGAAGGCATGCTTGAATTAATGAATAGCGCAAAAAACACGATTCGTATGCCAAAATATTGTGAAAAACTATTTCAATCCTTTGATTCCTCTGTAACCGAATAAAAAAGTGAGGTTGTGTTTCAATAATTTACAGAAGAATGAGGTTGTGTATTTTGTATTTTGCCTCCAGGGTCGGTCATCGTGCACGCGACCTATACGATTGAAGAGGTTAGATTTCCTGTCAAATCAATCATAGCCGTAGATGGAAAATGGAAATAGGGTATAAACACCCTTCAATTTAGAGATACGGCACTTTTCGCAGAATAGCAGTTATAAAAATGAAAAGAATATACTTGAAGCTAGGTCGGTATTAAAAACGCCATTCAATGATATATCACGTTGCAATTTACTTGATTTCCTCAGTTTCCTTCTCAAATATTCAATTTCATTACGTACTTTTTCAATAAATTCCTCTTTCTCCATAATAGTTTTGTTTTGCATTTCGTGTGATGATGATAATGGATTTTCTTGTCAAATAGTTCGTTTTGTGAATGAATGGAACAGCTGATTCTCTCAAACGGATCTTGAAATTTTCTATTCGAAAATATGGGCCTAAAATATAGTTTCATTCTAATCTGCTGTTATGAAAAGTGAATTTTAATGTATGTACCTCACAAATTTTGCTTGTCTTCAAATTGATTTTCCATCCAGGCCGTTTCATACATTCCTTCCATAAGAGAATGGGGTTGATATTTCCTTTGGCGAATTAAATGAATGAAATCCATTCTAAATACTGTCTGTATGTTAATCGAGGAGGTGGTATATTCATTATTCCAAATTTTTTGTGATTTTCTCTCCTCGTTTCTATAAAATAAAAATATGAATATTATTTCAAAATACGTGTAGTAAGGACAAATCAGATGATTTGCCCCAAAATGTCACTGCGTTTAAAGAATTTTCCTATCAGAGAGCCTAAAAGAAAAATTCACTAGCTTGTCAGTGACAATTTGTATTGAAAAATTTGGAGAAGAGAAATAAAGGTATATAGAAAAAATATCAAATTTTCACTTATCTTTGGACGTTTCGGGACCGATTCTGCTCCCGTTTTCAACATGAAGAGATTTTTTCAATTGCGAAGTCGTATAATATGTATTGAAGCTTTTCAGTTTTCAATGACACTTGGTGACGTTGGCAATCAAAGGAGTTACAGGATGTTTTCATTAATTAATCTTGAATTTACTATTTTCATGTTCAGATTTTAGTAGTGAATACCATGTTCTGTCTATATCAACTGAACAAGAAGCAATGCTATTGTCTCCGTTCAGAAGAATGCAAGCAGATTCCTTGATTTTTCTCTTCTGGTTGTTATCTTCTTTTCCAAGGAACATAAGTACAATATAAAGAAAAGAAACATCGATAAATCGAAACTAGCTGAACATATCCTTACTGAAGACGGACAACATATGGCAGAGTGGAATAATATTAAAATCATTGGAAAAGAAGATAACAACCAGAAGAGAAAAATCAAGGAATCTGCTTGCATTCTTCTGAACGGAGACAATAGCATTGCTTCTTGTTCAGTTGATATAGACAGAACATGGTATTCACTACTAAAATCTGAACATGAAAATGGTATATTCAAGATTAATTAATGAAAACATCCTGTAACTCCTTTGATTGCCAACGTCACCAAGTGTCATTGAAAACTGAAAAGCTTCAAGACATATTGTACGACTTCGCAATTGAAAAAATCTCTTCATGTTGAAAACGGGAGCAGAATCGGTCCCGAAACGTCCAAAGATAAGTGAAAATTTGATATTTTTTCTATATACCTTTATTTCTCTTCTCCAAAAATTTTTCAATACAAATTGTCACTGACAAGCTAGTGAATTTTTCTTTTAGGCTCTCTGATAGGAAAATTCTTTAAACGCAGTGACATTTTGGGGCAAATCATCTGATTTGTCCTTACTACACGTATTTTGAAATAATATTCATATTTTTATTTTATAGAAACGAGGAGAGAAAATCACAAAAAATTTGGAATAATGAAATCCATTCTCTTCAGTATTCCCACAATTCATTACACAGCAGAGGGCATTTTCATTTATGAAAAGAAAACAACAAATATCTCAAAGTCGGTAGACCACACTTTATAAAAATATTAAAATATACATGTAACCGGTTTCGGCGCAAAGGCCATCATCAGACAAAAAAGTACCTGTAAAAAGATGAAATATGACAATACAAATAGAAGTGACAACATTTTCAAAAACATACCAAAGCATTACTTATTGGCTAAGTGTGGTCGACCGACTTTGAGATATTTGTTGTTTTTCTTTTGAAATTACTTTGGACCACTTTGAGATATGGATGATTTTCATTTATGCTTTCTTCTCATTTTTTTATGAAATTATATTTCAATTCTGACGTTCATACTATTTATTGTCAAATTCGAACAATTTCGAATAAACGACTATATGGTACTCTGCAAGGTGTGTAACTTAATAAATCAAAACATTCAAAAACACTAACAGTTGTCATTTCTGTGTCCGAACTCTTATCTAAGTTATACCATCCAGTGACTCTAATTCAAATATGGGAAGATCTTGACCAAAATGACATAAGGTATCTTATTTTACGTATGAGCCGTCGTTGCCAAGTAGTTATTCGTACCAGAGGCGGAAAGACCCGCTACTAACACTATTGTTCAATTTGTTCCTTTGCATTCTGTTTCGTTTTTTCGTTGATAGATTTGGATGTTGATTTCCCATAAAATCGTGTTATGCTTTGAATTGGTGTTTCTGGAGTAATAGGAAAGATAATGGAGTAAATCCACAAAAGAATTGTTGAAAGAAGATGATGCTAAAGTGTAATTACAATTCTAACTTGATAATGTAACTGTTGCACCCTACAGGGTATTACTAACATTATGAAAAAACACGCTACAATTACTACACCCGGTAGTCATAAAAACGAGGTTTCTATACGAATACAAATTGTATCCCATTGTTCAGAAGGGCATAACCTGTCATTCAAAACTAGAAACGTCCAAATTGGACAATTAGTTTTGACCAAAATCTACCCTAAACTTTCGGGTATTTTTTGGTGTTGCGTTAATTTCTGGGAGAAGTATATACTTACTAAATTATTCTTTGTTCTCATCATTACTCTTATTTAACTCCTTGTTAGTTTCTGAATTGCAAGTGTTGATTCCAGATTAACAATTGACGCTTTCTGAATTACAATTGACTAATCTGAACTACAAGTTAACTTTTATGAATTACAATTTACAAATCTGAATTACAATTCACAAATCTGATTTAGAATTATTGAGACTTTACTGAAAATGGTATACTTCTAGACACACTTTGAAATCCTCCAAAATTTATTTGGTTTCAGACCCAATGCAAAACTTACTTTTTGTTACTCGTTCCACCAAAATGTATACCTCCTTGCCACCTTTCGCCTCACTTACACAGTGATCCAACCTTGAAATTTTCAGGTCTCCTGTCAACGCACTCTCTGCAGGAAAATTATAACTTCAATGAGAATATGGATTGTTTTTGATTCAATTTTATTTACTCAGTAAAACATTGAAAAATCAAATAGTATAAGAGTAATGATACGAAGGAATCGTGATAATGTATTCACTGAACGTGAAAAATTTCACCATAACTGTTATCGACCTTCCTGAATAAATATCTATTATGTTCTAAACTCTTTTCTGCTTGCAATATTTCGTACATCCAAAGCTGAATTTTACTCTAGAGAAAAATGAAAATAGCTAATTAAATACTTACGAATTTGAATGAATAAGTACGAAATAATTTTGAAGGTGATTCTTTGTCATATATAATGGAAATAAGTGCATATCAACATTTGAGGAGCAACTGAGCAAAATGCATTAATTCCAATTTTAACATTTCTCAAGTGAATATTACTGAAGTAATACATTTTGGTCAATACACAATCCATAATGTTCACTTCGAGCAAAACGCTTCAGATCCATTTAAATTTGCCATATTGAATAAATATGGCATAAATCCATCGGCTGGTTGTCTCTAAAATGAATTCACAGGAAAGTTTTCTGTGAATGATTTCGTTCTCAAGGAAGTCATCTGTAAATGTTTTCATTCAGTTGAGTGAATCATCTAGAGATGGCCATCTTGCTTGAAGAAATATTGAGAATTTTTTTCTTGTCGGAGCAGAATGCAATAAATCCAAAAACTGATCGAGCGAAACGGAATAAATCCATTGATATTTGAGCAAAATGCCATAAATCCACACATTGATTGAGCAAACTGGCATAAATCCAACAAAAAAAGTTGAGTTAATGCATATATACTCGATATATACTGTTGAGTTTGAAGAATATCACCATCCAACCTTTCCAAGATTGTTATTCATTTCGATTTGTAACCGAATGAAAATCTGTTTTTGATTATATCTGATTCAAGCAGTTTTTCATCTTTTACTCGAAATCATATATTATGGATTTAAACCGTTTTGCTCAGTTGCTCCTCATTTGTCCTAACTTGCTTCGTTTTCGAGAGAAAGGGTATCAATGGTTTCATTAAGAAAATCAAAATTAATTACTCAATTCTTCTATTGGTGTAATTAGAATCGAAATAAAAATTCAAGTAGCGTCACAGTAGGTTACCTTATTGATGTTCATGGTGAATAACATTGTTCGCCACTGGTTTTCCTGATGTAATATCTTTATTAAATCGAATAATTGAAATACAACTTTCTAGTCCCTTATACTACTTTTATATTAGTATTAGATTTTGAGAATACAATAAAAAATCGATTTGGCTCCAAATTTTAGTGAAGGTCTCATGATACTCATTGAGATTACTCAAATTTTGCCATCATCATCAATATTGCACGAAACTTCGAGGTCACATTTTTTGGGTGGAAATAAGAAAAAAAGTGCATATGTCCGACAACGATTTGGGTCAAGTTTCTTGAAAAAAATGGATTTTTCATTAATTTCAAGAAAATGCATAAACCTAGCTAGTGATGAATTCCTCAATGTCTGTTGAAATCGCAATGAGGTATTTTTTTGACCTATTACAGTTAGTTGATCAAGTGCCCACGGGGCAAATCATTTTAGCACAGAAGATAACATCCAGTAGATTTTTTTGATTGAAGCAACAATATATTTTTTCGCTCTCGATTTTTTTTCGTATCGGGTTTTGTTTTAGAGGAAAAGAAAACCCCGTGAAGAGAAGAATAGTGAAGATGAATAAAGGGTCCAAAAATATTCAAGGAAGGTTTAATTTCCTGAGTTACAGTATGAATTAGAAGTAAATATGATTGGTACGTTCATCACTATCGGTTCACGCATTTTTTAATAAATTGATAGAGAATCGATTTTTTCAAAAAACTTTCAAACCTTGGAAACTGATCGTTTTCGGATATATGTTTATATATAAACTTTCTTCTTTATGTCGACCCAAAGAATACGATCTCGAAGTCTCGCTCTGTATACAGGGTTATCATGAAAAAAATAATTAATACTTTCAACTTCAACATCTTGTATCTCAAAAACGAAGCATGTTAGGACATACGTTTACATGAAATGTTTTTCCTTAAATATAACAAGGAATCACCTCCTGAATTTTTTCGCAATCATTCATCAACACCCTGTATAGGACTATTATTGGAAGTTGAGAATTATTAATAAAAAAACTACTTACTCAGATTATTTATGCCATGAGAATAGATAGGTTCACAAAGTGGAAAAAGGATACCATTTTGCTTAATGAAGGCATCAAATCTTAGACAAACAATATTCAGGTTAATGGATTTGCTTTCGGATTCTGCCAATCCTTTAATCTGAAATTCGAGGAAGAACGACATTGAAACACATCTAGATATCTCCCGGATAGACCAAGATCGTCTGCGTCGCAGAGATATCCACATGCATTTAGCGATTTTTGTATTTGTTTTGCGCACAAGAAAATGCATACCTTCACAATTCTTGCATTCACCATCAATGGCCATTTTGAGCCTTTATATCTGGAAAATGTAAATTATACATTTAGTTAAATTGAATTAAAAAAACCCACATCTCAAACATTCACCGATTCGTTTGAAACCATAATGTTCATAATCACCGTGAAATATACAATAATTTCACCACCAATATTCTTCCAGGCTTTCTAAGTTCTGGCTTCTGAGCAACAACAGGTGTAACTGATAAATACCAAGTAACTCAATAGCGCGATTATATTTATGTTTGATAACCAATCGCTTCTAGTAACTTCGAATTCAAGTCAAGAAAAATAAATTAAACACGAATGTTAAACAAACACGCAGCATTTAGCTTTTTACGGCCACCTATCGGTATCAGTGCAAACCTCAATTTTGACAGAGCCCTGTCTAACCTGATTCCCAACTATTAGAACTTAGTTAGCAAATTAGCACACTTTTGAAATTATCAAAATATTCATTATGACTTTTGTTATTATGATATGGTCTTAATGATGGTATAATCTTCATGATCCGAAATTTGTCATCAAATAATATTTTGGTGTAAATATTTCAAATTGATATGAGGCCGATTTTAATAATTATGAGACTGTGCTCTGGGCCTTTGGGATGTTTGTAATCTCATCATATCATATCTAACTAGACTTGCAGTATGATTGAGTACCGTGAAAAAAAAAATAGAAAGATATCAATCATGTCCAAGTGAATAATTGAGAAAATATTTCAAATGTGCTAGAATTGAGATTACAATTATTCATGTGCTGTAACATATTATAGTACATTTTTTACTCATTAGATTGGTTCAAATAGCGCAATGAATAGTTAATATCTTATCACAGGTATGATAATGGAAAACCGTTACGACGAAAATATAATCAATTTTTGATTTTCACATAAATCCTGCAATATTTTAAATTACAGGATTTGAAAGAGATTCAGGAACATAAAATAACTGTTATGTACTTCACATCTCGCACTTAACTCTGAATATTCCACAAAAAAAGATCATCCTTCATACACCCGTCACTCACTACTTTTGATTTATAAAAAAAATCAACACAACTTCGAAAACAAGACACTAATCAAATGTTGATATTTCAATGAGAAACCATCATACAATCACTGGAAAAAGGTAATACCACCAATACTATCGACGATGATAAATATAGATCTTATGATTCGTACATGCAAAAACTCATAACAATTCCAAGAAGGAAAATGTAAATAAAGATAAAGTATCGCTCAGATATCATTAAATTTCATTATTGCCGGATGGAAATGGAGAGTCTACTCTTAATCGACTACTTTGAATCAGTGTTGCCACAGGTGGTACAATTTCAGCAGATTTGATACATTTTGTTCAAGAAAAGTACGTTGGTAGACAATTTCTTTGGTACAAGATTCACGCACTGTTCATATTTTTGCAGCAAGTAGGCAATACTGGTTGAAATCAACGCATCCCTCAATGCACCATGATTATAATATATGTTACTCAGGAGTTGGTCGCCGACAATGAAACAATTGTCGAAGATGTCCTTTATCACTGAAGACAGACCTACCAAGGTTCAATAAAATCATAACAAGGGTTATTGAAATATCAGGATGCAAAAATAGGATTATTTTTTGCAACTACATGATCCTGATCCAGAAACTGAAACATCATGTATACACAGTTTCGGGATAATCTATTTCAATATATCCATTATTTAGGTTTGGTGGGTTCAGTGGAGTACCCAGAAATGCGCCTTGAGGGCGAGGGGTATATTTTTTTCAAAACACATCTTTATTTATGGTTATTGGTATGGTATATCCAAAAACAATAATTGTAGAATATCTCGCACCGTGCAGCGTCGGCGGGTTTGGAGTTCCCTTTGAAGTGAGTGCATGTGTGGTACGAAACTCTGCAATTGTTTTTGGATAAACTTCAATAACAAGTATTTTGGGCATTAAAGAATAAAATCGAAGCGCCTCTGGACTTTTGATTTCCAATTATGTATTGAAATATTCGTGTCACATTTTGATAACAACCTTAGGAATATCAGGTAGACATTTTAGTAAATATGGGTGTCACAAAATTGCTGGGACACAGTTGCCAACTAATCTTTGTATTACAATTTCATTAAACATTTTTTATTATGCGAAAAACGAGACTTTACTAGTCACAAAATGAAGATAATTAAGTTGCCTTCTCGCTAATAAATATTGGAAAAAGTATCCACTTCTAAAAATTTTCTGAACAAAATGTCAGTGGGTAAGGTTGGTTTTAAAGCTACTACAGTTTCTTTTGGGTTTATTTTATTGCCGAAAAGAGAGTAAACCTCTAAAATGCACTTTTGTCAAATTTCATTCAATTTGTTTCATTCATTTCTGGACAGCGTACAAACATGTGTTTTTTAATGTAAACTTTGAAATCTTCTCACGAGCAAACTGTACATTTTGGTATGAAAATAAATTGGGTCCAATCAACCCTATTTTGACCTCTAATACACGTGGTAGCTCTGTGTCCTGTGTCCCAGCAATTTTGGGACACCCTGTATATGTAACTGATACTGCACTGTTTGAAAAAATCCAATGATTTCTGAATGGATTCGTTCCTGAGATTTAAAATGTTTAATGGAAGAAATAGACGCGAAATTTTCAATCAGCTGTAACGAGGAATCACTTCTATCAGTTCCAACTGCTGATGTTGAAGCCACTCCATCATCATCGTTGATTTGAGCATGCGCTCTAAAGCTAGTCTCACACAACGACACGAAACTTTTGTAGAGATGAAAACGTAATACGTTAAGAAAAGTGGCGTATTTCTATCGGCATATGGGGGGGGGAGGGGGTATATATCCCCCTTATCTCCGCGTAGGTATGCCACTGTGATGGGTAGGTACATTATATGTTGTTGAATCTGGTACAATTCATTGGTGATGTTGGTACGAAATATGTTTACGGTGTGGCAACACTGCTTTGCATCAATACAGGAGTTATTATGCAATAAACAACAATACAGTAATACATTTCAGATTGAAACCACGCTCTATAATTCCAAAATCAATTAGATGGAAATGATTAGGGATCACATCAGACACTTATACCATTTTTATGGCAACGAAAAGGAAATGATTTTTTCCACCACAAGCTCTAGAACCTACCATTATTTTCATTTAATCCTCTTCAAGGCGTTAAGTGTGTTCTTAGTACCAAGGTAGTTTTCGTCATTTTATGAATCACTAGTCAATAAAAACATAGCCACTTCAGATATAATTAACACGAATTCATTGTTCTTATGAGAGATTCGCAGGAACGGCAATCGAATCTAATAGGTATTTAACAATAACAATTTGTCATATGCTGTCATTGTGGCTAGAATTGAAAAGAAGTGCTTTCAATTTTTTTATGTTCTGGTTCCCACGAAAAAAGGGATATCCTGTAACGTTCAGAGAACATCGTGAGAACCAAGGGAAATAAGGTAGGAATTGGTGTTCTTCTTAGATTTCTGGAGGTTATATGCCTCGGGGAACACCTCCCTTGGTAATGTATTCCAGAGCCTCGCTGTTCATTGGATGAACGAGTCTTTGAAAATAGATGATCTGCAGGTCTCCAAAGTGACCACGAAGGAGTGCGAAGCCTCAACTCGACGGGTTAAACTCACTCGCGAGGACTGCCAAGGGAGGAACAATTGTTGATATTCCAGAGGAGCATCGTCCATGAAAATATCTATAAAATAGAGCCAGATCGCCTACTTTTCTACGGTATTTGTGAGCGAGGCATCACCCACAAGACGAATTGCCCTTTGTGGACAGAATCCAACAGTTTCAGGGTATGTTTGGGTGCTGCACACCAAATATGGGAACAGTATTCCAGGACAGGTCGGATCTGTGCCTTATAGATCATAAGCAGCTGACTGCTTCACAAAACTATATTGATTGAAATACATTGCTAGTGGTTAAAAAGTTTAATATACACATAGTAAAGAATAATATTACCACGGGACTTTTTATACCCTTCGTCTGAAGCCTCGGGATATAATCAGAGGCGTCCGGAGGGAGGGGGGTGGCAACGGGGGCGCTCGCCCCCCCTAGCGCCTGGTCTTTAACTTAGATACTTTCTAAACAAGATACATTTGCATTATTCAATTCCTATTCTGATTAGCGCTCATTATAGTGACTTTCTGAGACTTTGTTTAATTAGTATTCATCGACATCTTATAGATAGATATCGAGTTAATTTTATCAACGAAATTATTGATAAATTTGCTCTAAACTCTATAAGAATGCCATTTTTGATTGAACAAGATAATGATTATTATCAAGTGCAATTTTTTATTGTAATTTTGGCTGCAAACAGAATACTGAGCAGAATACCTATATGTGATGTCAATTCAATCAATTTTTTTTTATTCCATGTTGTATGTACAATAATAGTAGATTATATATCGAGTGAGTAAAGTGCATGATTCTTCCAGAGGTGGTTTTGTAGCCAGAGGGTGCTACAATGCACTGAAGGAAGAAAGAATACTCACTTCCGAGGTTTATATACCGTTTTTTGCACGACTCGACGATTTTAATTGAAAGAATCTTATGATAACATCAATTATTGTCAATATGAAAAAGGAAAATCTGAACACAATAATCACAAACTCAAGTTTGATTATTATGACTACCGATAAAGAAGAGTAGCCATATTGCTTTTTGTGAACATCGAAAAAGTGTGGTAGCATATTTTCTTAATCGCTTTCCAAAGTTTTTTCAATAAATATTGCAGGAATGTGTGGAAAAACTATTGAAGAAGCTACTGCAAACATAGTGGTATATTTATTGCCAGAAAAATTCCGGAAATTTTTTTATCGCTTA